TACATGCAATAAATACACATAGATATATTGTACAGTCCGCAAAAAAAAAAAGATATCACCCTGAATAACTTTCGTTCTAATGATCCGATTTTCACGAACTAAGTGTCAATCTTAATGGTTCCTGGGGGTGACCTCAAATATGCTAATTAATTAGTGCTAACTATTAATTAAGTTACGAAATCAGACACAAAAACGTACTTTCTCTGAATAAACATNATATTTTATAAGAATAATTCGCATGTTGTGCAAAATTTGGAAGCATGTTTCTTAAGGAAACTACGTAAACGTAATATAAACAAAAATTGCTCTTCGCTTGACGACTGGAAAAAAATTTCATTATATTTGGTATAAAGATTGCTGTTTAAATATTTAGAACAATCGATGTCTTAAAAAAATATAGACAGAAAAATACAAAAAAAAGTAATTCACGCGCAATTTCTTTCAATTTTAAACTCCGAGTGCATAAGAAATTTTGGCTCAAATGGCGAGTGACACTTGTGTATCGAATGAATAAAGCAATTAATATCTTTACTCGATTAGTTTTTTTTTAAATAAATCCCAAAAAAAATAATTTAATCATTATGAAGAGAGCATAAATTGACTCTATTGACTACTTCTTAAGATAATATTTTAAATATATTTCTTTAAGCCTATATTACGACTAAGCATTGATTTAAATGTAAACATCAAATTCAAAATGTCAAAGATGCTTCAGTTTACCATTATTCATACTATCCTTACTCTAAATTGAGTATTTAGCATGCAAAACGTTGCAATCTGTACTTGAATTTGGTATATGTATGTTAAACTCTGATGTTAGTCTGACTACCTGACACAGAAAAGGAACGAAAGTCTTGAGCAACAAGAATCTTCTTAAAAGAAAATTTGTTTATTATTTGTGCAAAGAAAATGGAAATTCTAGTAATTATTTACAGTTAAAGTTGACAAATGCAACTGACCAAATTAAAACTCTTAAGAAAATACCCAGCAAAACTCTTTTTCAGTGACTGAAATGCTTTCATTGCCTGTGTGATACTACGCATGATACCAAAAGTTATTAAAAAAATACCGAAGTGTGACTTGGCATTAAGTGACACTCACGTATACCTCTGTTGTTTAAAATATATCAGTTGAAAAGATTATAGAGTGTAATTCGTATAATGTTAGAAATCTTTGGTTGAACTATTTGGTGTTTTTTTATGATTAATTCAAAATATTCAGCTTTTGAGACGATTACCGAATATCCGTTGCACACCCAATTTTTAACTTCCATTTTTAACAACATTTTGCTACAACTTAAAAGCATTTTAAGAATTATAGTATAGAATTCAAACTCTAGAATTTCTTTCTTTATTTTCCATTATTTTAATTGTAGCTACATACACATATTTATTGCCGGTGCATGCTAAATAACTTACTAGAACGTCAATAAACATTATGAATGGAAATAAGAAAATAAAAAATGCTAGTAAATTTTAACAAAAGTTTATTATTCATATAATGCTGCCATGTTTTATTTTCTCAAAAACTCTCTTGTAAATTATGCAAATTTAGATCAGTTAGTTGTGTTTACATGAGCAGACAAGCTAACAATATTTAAAAATTATGCCGATAATAAAGTATAGATTTCAATATAAGCAGACGAATGATCATAGTTTATTTCGAAAAATCGGTAATGATAAAGGCTAAAAATGTGCATTTTCCATATAATGCACTAAATAATTCAATTACTGAATATATATGCATATGTACATATATACATCAAATATATATACATCATGATTACAAGAAATCAAAATATTCGATTACAAGACTATTGTCTGCCAATATATTTATATTTAACAGTAGATAGTTTAAAGTTGATACATTCGTACGTATTTACATACAGCGTATGTACGAATGAATATGACTGAAATGTATGTACATATGCATTAATCTAATGCATTTGTTTACTAATGCATATGTACAGACATTTTGGCTACACACATATACACACACTTATGATGTATGTATAAAATACATGTACGTGTGTACATATCTAATAATTATGCATGTATGAGCAAACAATGTAGATATGTACATTTATAAACAATGAATGCATGCATTTTATGGAAATACTTGTGTATGTAAAATGTATATCCCTGTTTATGTACTCATGTATATGCTATTACTTGCTGTTGTTTGCACAAACATACATACATTTTTTGTACAATGTATGAATGTCCAATGTTTGCATGCACAACTTATTAATGTCCCATGGATGCTTGTGCATATATGAATAATATATATGTATAATATATATGTGCAATATAAGTTAAAATGTAGATTGTATGCATGCGTATATACACGATATGTGACTGTTATGTTCGATGTGTGTCCCATGCATGCATGTTCGATTTATTTATGAAAAATATGTATGTCTATATACACGGTATATGTATCGTCAATGTTAGTATCCAAATATGCATAATGCATTTACGTACGCTCATTAGGCATACATATATTTAATATGTACACACAAATTCATTCGACATGCATATATTGTACACATAAAAATACATACATTCGACATGCATATATTGTACATATTTACATACATACATTTGACATGCATATATTGTGCAAATGTACATACATATGCGCGTACATATATTGTGCATATGAACGTACTATATATTGGACTTAAATCTTTGGTACAAATTTTACACGTGTACATACATGTTGTCCCAATATATGCAATATGTACAATATATTTATGTCCAATGAATGTATCCACACATATACAACACACGTATATCTCATGTATGCATATCCATATGTACTACATATGCATGTATAATGTGTGAATGCATGTACATACATTGTACATACCTATATACATTGCATATATATCTATGTACATATATTGTATGTACGTATACATACAATAAATATACGTAGATATATTGTACATATATATAATATATGTATGTCCAATGAATGTATGAACATGTATACAGTATATTGTCTAAATATATGTTCAATGCAATAAATGAAGTGTATGTAAGTTAAGCGTAAAAACGACTCAAGCAAGTTAAATGACAAAACCAAACGATATTTAAATTTATTTGGCAGCTTAAATAGTTCCGTATCATTGTAAAATTGCTTGAATAAAAAATAAATTTCAGATGCTTTCATAAAATGTTTGACACTGCAAATTTATTTTTATAACATAATGCATAGTTCACAGAAATTTTTTGGATTGCAAAAAAAAAACGGTTAATTTTTAATGTGGAAATAATATTGAGGTATTTAAAATAAGATTATCGTTTGCTTTCCAAAACAATGAGAGATAGAGTTTTATGTTTTCGAAATTTTAAAGCTAACTTAAATAACTTTACTAATATAGAGTTTCAAAATGCATACACAATGTATGCGCATATATACATTGTAACTACATATATTTAAAAGTACACATGTATTTATGCATTACACTTAATTACGCACATATATACGTTGTGACTTCTATGGTATGACTTTTATGATGACTTGATATGGTATGACTTGATTGGTATGACCTTTATCGATTTTCCCTACAACATATAAACAAAACAAAACATATGAACAAAAAAGTTTATGCATATCAAGTTAAATTAAATTCCAAGGCAGAACATCAGAATCAGTAAAAGCTTTTTTTTTTTTTTTTTTTGGAAAAAAAGTTAAATTAGCCCCAACTTCTTGAGTGTTTTATGGTGGGTTCAATTCAGAACAAATTTTGGAGATCGGAAGATTTCGTTTTTGAATATGTCTCCCCTACCACTTGAATAATTATATTATGTTTTTTCACGAGTTCATCGTACCTATAGTTGGTTATATGGGTGTCAGTATTAGTATATTTAGTACCTATTAAAAACCACCAATTAGCATAATACCAATTGCACCTATTAACAAAATTAATTAAGCATTATTGGCGCCAATAAAAATATGTAACTAGTATAGAACAAGTAATTTTCTCCGTTAATTTACTTTTATTATAAAAACTGTTTTTTTTTATTATCCTATTGCCAAAATTAATTAAGTGTTATTGGCGAGAATAACAACCATCAATTTATCTTTTTTTTAAAAAGTTATTTTTTCATTTCAATTTTTTGCTATTACCAAAGCAAGTTAAACGTTATCGGCGCCAAAAATATTGTGGCAATTTTATTCGATTCTCATGCATTAATAAGTAGCATTGTAAGAAAATAACATGCATTAATAAGCTTTTTAATGCGAAGCTTATATATTTTTATTTCAATTTGTACCTACTGGTAAATGCAGTTGAGCATCATTTGCACTAATAACAATATGGTAATTTTTTAAGGCTCTCGTAGGTCCATAAGCACCAGTTCTGTTCTTCATTAATTTAGCTTTTTAAAACAAAATTTCAATTTGTCACCTATTATTAAATTTAATTAACATCAATGACACTAATAACAATATGACAACTTTATAAAGTTCTCGTACGTCAATGAATAAAATTTCAATTCTCCCTTAATTTAGTCTTTAATACAAAACTCATTTTTCTTAACAGAAAGTACGTTTTTGTGTCTGATTTCGTAATTTAAAATATCGTCAGCACTAATTAATTAGCATATTTGAGGCTACCCTTTCAAACCAATAAGATTGAATCCTGGAACGTGAAGATTTGATGATTAAATCATAAGTTATTCAAAATTGTACGGTTTTTTATTTTCTTTCTTTTTGCGCATTGTACACATTAAGTAAGAGATTTTTTAATATCGAGACAAGGAAATTGAAAAAAATTACTTATTAGAAATAATTCAAAGATTGGAACCATTAGCTATACAGCCGCACTTTTCCCAATGGTCAACTGTTTTTTTACAAAAGTGTCTTAGTATTATTTTTTTTATTAGTGTATGGCATTTCACACCAAAAATGTCATTTTGATAGCTTTGAAAACTGTAGCTTGTCTTACTTTAATTTATTAGTATTACATACTTGTTGTTTTTTCCATTCAGATTCATTTATATGAAAGAATAGCTAATGGTGAACCTGGTGAGAAGATTAGATTTCTCACATCATAAGAAACGAAGCTATGGTCTTGGTAAAAACAAGAACTGACAATGGCAGATGGTGCCAGCCACCAGATGCAAACCCTTGAAAATGGTGTGCCTTCATCACCCCTCTCGCCTTCTTCCACTCGGAGTCAGAGTCGCTGCTCCGAAATTGTCCGCATTGAGCAACAATCAAACAATGGCGCACGACACTTCAGAAGTCGACTCATTAGCATTGTTAACAGAGTACGGGTACGTTAGATTTTTTTGTTGATTTCCTTCTTTAACAAAAGTTCTGCGTCAACGCATAATTTATCGTGGTGACAATTCGTCGCACACAATTTGTCGTAAAACAATTCATTGTGAGCACAACTCGTTGCAGCGACAATTCATCGCGGTCACAACTCGTCACATAAACAGTTCGCCTTGTGCACTCCTCATCTCAACGGCAATTCGTCGTAGACACAATTCGTAGCAGGCACTACTCGCCATAGCGACTATGTGTCATCAGCACAATTTAAATGAAATACTTGGATGAAATACATCAATTTACGAATACAAAACTCTTGCATTGTCTAGAAAATGAGCTACTTAAAACTGTGGCGTAACTACCACTACAAAAGTTTAACATCATTCACTAGTATATAAAGCATGCTAACTTGATTCTATCACGGGGTACCTTTTCATAGATGACGGTTGACATGGTCGAATACTCCTCCCCCACATTGGTGACCTTCGAATGTGATTTGCTCACGCATGTAACGCCCACTTCGCAATCTCTTAACGGTTACGCCTACTTCGATGGATAGTCCACATTGTACGGTTGACTTGCTATTTGTGAATGCATCATTCATCTCCTGCGCTGTTGCTTCTCAGTCTCGTCTCGAACATTCACACAGCGTCTACACTCTCAACGGCTGCATACTCTCGACTGCTACGCCTACTTCGATGGATAGTCCACATTGTACGGTTGACTTGCTATTTGTGAANAGTAGCGTTATATAACATGATACTTTTTATAATGAGTTAAATGTTCAAATGTTATATTTTCATGATAAAATTTTTTTGAGATTAAATTTTGATCTGCATACTTTATAATTGCTACAAGCCACGCTGATATTTTTAAGCTTAACTCTGAGGAATTAGTACATCCACCTATATCATTTCAATTATCTAATTAAAAACTCAAAATCTCAACAAGAGGAACTCAAAGAAACCCGAAATAAGCATTTTCAAAGGCTTTTTTGTGAGATTCATTGAAAGGCAGATAAAAAAAGCAGCTGGCTCAATTTTTTTCTTATATCTATTTGAAGTTTATTATTGTTTTATTTTAAACTCTATTGCAACTTATTATATTCTGTAAAAAACAATATTCTCAACATTTTGATGTTGTAAAACCTTTGCTTTTGTATAGGATTTAAAATAAATTGGATTCTAGTTTATATTGTTAAAAAAAATAAGAAATTCATCTTTTCAGAATGCCTTGGTGGCCACAGGAAGCTTTAGGAAAAGATCTGAAAGTCAACAAAGACCAGATTCTTTTCTAGAAAAATTTACTTGGCAACCAGCACAAAGTACAGATGAAGATCTTGAATTGACATTTTGTCAAAGGTAATATTTTGTTTATAAGCAACTCATTCATATCTGAATGAATGATCAGGACGTCGGCCAATTACAACCGACCTTAAAAAGGCATCACTTGCAATCTTATTGTAATTATCTGCAATAATTAGGGATATAATTAGACATAATTAAGGAGAAAAATTTACGTGGAAACTTGTTGAAATTTCAAGCATGTTGCTCAAAGAGAAATAATTCAGAATCATTTTTGGAAGTTTATTTATTTTTAATTCCTTGAAAAATTTGATTCGAAATTTTTCAAATGATATACCAATTTACTTAACTTTTGGATTTATAGAAAATTAATAAGTGTAAAGATAAAAATGTTCATATTATTAAAGAAAACAAATAAAATACTTCCGAAAAATAAAACAACACAATTTATTTAAATTAATTCCTAATTGTTAAAAACCAGTTAACTTTTTATAATTGATTGTTTACTTTATCGAAATATGAATAAAACTGGTATTGAAAATTACACATAGCATATAATAAAATAATATTTTAAATAGTTCCCTTCTTGAAATCATGGTTAGTTCATTTAAATCAGTTTAATTTATAAAAAGAAAAAAACACCTATTGTTTACTTTATCTAAAAAAGGAAATAAAACTCAGATGTACTCAGAAAAAACTTTAAAAAAATATAGTGTTAACAAAAATACAGTTACTCGGCTAACCGTAAACATAATCGAATGGCAAATAGTGTATCACGACAAGATGTCAAATCAAAGCTCTCAACTTCTGGAAATCCTTGGAATGAAAAACAAAAATTCTTTCTTGTCCGTTTGTCTTTTTCTTTAAATTAGAAATTTGAATATAAATATTGTTAAATAAAAATAGAAACATTTACCCTAAAAATTAAGTAATAAAGTTTGTGCTCACTTTTGCACTGCTGGAATATGATCGGAAAGTGACATCCTAGTTCATATCGCAATGTCATATAGCGTTAACGTCTTCCTTTTGGCCACCAATCAGAAAACAGCACACACAGAAAATTATTACTGTGTAACAGTTACTTCATGTTTAAAAATATTTAATTCCATCATATTCTACAATACTATTCTCAAGAATGGTTTGTAACGGAATAATATTGTTAAAATATACTATCACATTTTTTTAACAGTCAAACATTGCCAGAAAATAAGCATCAGTTATTTTACAAGTATTTAAGCAGTACACATCTCCATAGCACATGGAAATGCATTTTTCCTTTCATGGCCTCTCTAGGCTACTAATGTTTTTCTAATGTTGTTTTTACTATTTTATTTATTTTTCCTGTCCTTTTTCCCTTTTCCGCTATCGCGGTTTTTCTAGTATTTTACACATTTATTTTCCATTTTTTGTTGGCAACTTAACGTTTTATGTTTCAGATCTTCGAGTTTCCTCAAATCTGACGGAATATCAGATCTATTCAGATCTGTCGAGAATATCTTTGAGAGGATGAAACATGTCGATAATTACCATGTTTGAATTTTTTGAAAGCTAAGAAAGTTGTTATATTATTAAATACTAGAGGGCTCCGCCCCCTGATTGTAATATGTCAGAGGTCCTTGTTATCAGCATTATAAACTTGTATAAAGCAATTTTAATACAAACAATGATATAATCTTATATAAAGCGGGGAAGGAATATTATTTAACATATTACTATAGGGCATTAGCCGGAGATTAATCTCCGCATTCGAAGCACACGTGGCAGAGCCTAAATCGGGTTGACTATATTTGAGGGTTCCCCTTGATTCTCACCAAGTTGTAATCGCAGTTGATCACCAAGTTGGGCGATGTTGAAACCACATCGTGATTCTGATTGGTTTAGATTTTAGCGTTATTTTTAAATGTTCAACGGTATATGTGATTTCAGAGGTCCGTTAGTTCTAAGTTGGATACCGGCTGGTAATGTTACTTTTTCTTCTGGTCAATAAGATCGAAGGTATGTGAGCATAAAAAGGGACTTTAGAAAAAAATGTCATTGCCAGTCCGGTACCACAGACGCCATTTTCGATTCGTATTTCACCGAATTTATGTGGAGATGGAGGTACACAGATTCTATTCATGATAAATTTAGATAGTATCTAACTGCTATTAGAGAATTTCGGTGCACCTAAATCTGAGGATATTCAAGCTTAAAGAAGAAGTTAGTTGTTTTTTTCCTTTTCTTTCTGTGCTTACTCCATTAATTTTTGCTTCGATTCAAAATGCATTTTCCTGGGTTTAATAATTTTGCTCAAATCGGGTTCATTGCAATTTTATAAAGTTTTGACCGATGTTTTGTTGAAATTTTCCAATGTTTTACTGAAATATCATTATATTTTGGCAGCCATTCCTGTTACCACGGTGTTCCGCGCAAACAGGAATGACGCCAAACATGAGTCGCCAATTTCGCCAAGGGGCACCCTCAGGTACATTTTTGCCCCCACTAACTCAAATCATTGTTGATCTTATAGGATGCCGGATACTCCCTCTATATGGTGCTTCATCTCTCCACCCCCAGTAATTTAGATTTTTAAACTGAAAACAATTAAAACCTAAAGAAAAAAAACTTTAAAATATGGCAAACAAATTAAACAATGTAATATTAATAAGTTGATGCTGAGTAATATTTCAAGAGCAAAACCCATTGCAAGTTATTGCCCAATTAACTACAATACTGTCAACCGACAAAATATTTTAGTTTCAATCAGACAAAAAGCAAAATATATAATAAAAACCTATGTAACTGAAATTCGACAAATTAAATTAAGCAATTTAATTTTTTTGTCATATTGAATACTTATAAAAAAACAAATGTAAAATGAAATACTTATGTCATCAATGATCAATAAACATTTATGTCTGAATTATTATAAAAAAAATAAGGTGAAAACAATGAAATTAAAAATTATTTACAATAGATCTCTGAATATTCACATAACCTAGCTATGCACATTTTTCATTGATTTTTCTTTTCACATCTTTTTATGTACCAATGATTTGCACTTTTATGCATTATTTAAGAAATATCTCAAGCAAATATGAACTGTTAATTAATATTTCTGGCTGCACGATTTTTTGAAAATAAGTAAAAAACAATCAAAAGTAAGAAAAACAATGATAAAATTAAAAAATATTTACAAAACCTCCTTATATACAAAATTTTTTATCAATTTCTTTTCCATATTATTCGTTTTCATTTAAACGTCTTGACTCTTCAACGTTTCTTCGCCGCGCATTTCGCTGTCGCGTATTGATAGCACTACGATTATTTTCCCAGTAATTTTGTACTGCTAAATTATGTTCAGCCCTATGTCACTGTTGATATCTCCACGGCGATCCATTTTTTATAAAAGATATAAGTATTTTAGAGTAAACTCTGTTCAATATATTTCACACATTCAATACAAAATAAAAATCGCAACAAGATTTAGCTGGTAAGTTTAGCTGTAACATTTCTGCAGACAGCATTATTAAAAAGCATTACCTTTACACACACATGCGTTCTCAATTTTAATTGGCTGTTTTGTGCGTTACTAACCAGAAGTTTTCTGTGATTGGCTATGTGTTATCACTCCACTCTCTTCTTATATATAAGGATTTCTTCAAAACATGCTTATTTGACTTACACATGCTCAATTCAATTGAGAAATTCAGGGGGCATAAAAAGCATCAAACGAATGAAAACTTAATGTAAATAAATACTTTTCGTCAAGCCCACAGTGGGCAGTAGAATGTGCTCTTTAGAAAAAGTATTTCAAATTCAAATTCATATTGAAAATAAATGTGATCATCACATCCGGTAAATATTGACAATAAATCAGCAGTAATAAACAACTAATAAGCAGTAACTTCTATGAAAAATTGACTACCATGTTAAAAAATTATAAATTGTTCTGGAAAAGTCTTACTTTAAAGAAAATACCTAAATTTATGGAGTAAGAGGGACGAAAACAATTAGCCTGCTTCATTTCAATATTGCATCTTATTCCTGGAAATCTCCAATATTATCTCATTATCATAATCAATTTCTTAAGAAAGAGTTAACTGGAAGTTTGTTTGATAGAGTATTAAATCTACACGCACATACACCGTATTGATTTTAAATGCCTATTTTTCCCACAAATATACCGGAGATTGTAAAAGCATTTCATAACAGCTGCGTCACTAGAGCGCACATTTCGTGAAGTGTCTTCTTTTTTTCGGAATTTTAAATGTACTTAGATGGAACAGTTTTTCAAATGTTTATAAATTGTACCTCATAGAAAGGATGTTCTAAAGCTTACCATTGGAAAAAAATCAGCTAAGTATTTAGTTTGTGTAAAAAGAGGAAAAATTTTAAGATAATAATTACTGTTTATTCTCTAAAGAGCAGAGATTTCTCAGTGGTTAAGATACTGAGCTATCCTTGTACAGACGGAGGTTCGATTTCCAGCGTCTTTAAGTTTACGCAACTTCAAATCAATCAGTGTTTCTGGGGGGAAGGGGGAGGCGACTTGTACAAGATATTGAATTCTCAGCTCTTAACAGGCTATTTGGGAAATATTTTATTTCTTTTAAACATTTTACGGATTGCTCATAAAACTAGGAAAAGTCAAAAAGTAGTATTAACAAGGCAAAAAAAATTAAAAACATACAACAAAACATGTGTTAGTTCAATGTTTGTTTTTTGAAAAATTACGTCATTTTTTAGTCTTTTATTATTACGATCAGATGAATTAAATTAAATTTTATTAAACCTTTGAAAAAAGATTTTTACCCATTCATCATGTGTTTTAAATTGAAGTCAATCGTTGAGTTAACTGCGTATTTTTCACCAATGAACTAATCATCAATGATTCCATTTTGCAAAACTCAAAGAAGAAATTATCTTCGTATTCTAAGAAAGCTATTCGAATTTACGTATGGAGCAGAAGATTCTAAAGTATTCGTGACAGGAAATAATGAAGAAGAGTAAGAATTTATTTTTTATTACGTATTCTTATAAGATTTATTTTACTTCATTGTATATCGAAATTCGAC